CTACAAGAGTGTCCCACAAGAGTTTCCTACAAGAGTGTCCCACAAGAGTGTCCCACAAGAGTGTCCTACAAGAGTATCCCACAAGAGTTTCTACAAGAGTGTCCTGCAAGAGTGTCCCACAAGAGTGCCACAAGAGTGTCCCGCAAGGGTGTCCTACAAGAGTGTCCCACAAGAGTGTCCCGTATGAGTGCCTCACAAGAGTGTCCCACAAGAGTGTCCTATAAGAGTGTCCCGCAACAGTGGCCTGCAAGAGTGTCCCGCAAGAGTTTCCTACAAGAGTGTCCCACAAGCGTGTCGTACAAGAGTGGCGCGCCAGAGTGTCCTACAAGAGTGTCCCAAAACAGTGCCCCGCAAGAGCGTCCTACAAGAGTGACCCACAAGTGTGTCCTACAAGTGTCCCACAAGAGTGTCCCACAAGAGTGTCCTGTAAGAGTGTTCCACAAGAATGTCCTACAAGAGTGACCCACAAGAGTTTCCTACAAGAGTGTCCCACAAGAGTGTCCCACAAGAGTGTCCCAGAAGAGTGTCCCACAAGAGTGTCCTACAAGAGTGTCATTTGGACTTATGTAGCTTTTTGAACATGTTTGCATTCGGGTTCGTGGGCGCCATTTTTTTGTGGTTGTTTTTCGTATCTGTGGATGTCTTACTGGTACTTACCAATAGACGTGTCTTTGCAGGTGCATCAAATTTCACATGTTTTTCCAAGGAAGATGCTTGCGTCAAGCATTTCGCTAAAGTGAAACGGTCATTTTTGTTCGGAGTGCGAGAAAAGAGTTCGGAAAAGTGTTCTTTCTTCGACCTGCGAGCACCGGTCCCATCCTTCGACTCGTGGTTGATGCACACACTGTGCTTCCATTGCCTCCAGTCAAAACTCAAGGTCCCTCGGCATTTCCTCGGTTCAACACTTTCTGTCGCAGGTTCGCAGGTCGTCGCATCTCGGTCGTGCGACGAGGCGACGGTCGCGACGCGGTGTTGACCGGGCTTCGAGACCGGTGTCACATAACCGACGACTCACCACCCAACCAACCAACCACCCAACCACCCAACCACCCAACCAACCAACCAACCAATGTTAAGACAAACCAACCAACCGAAACAACAAAACTAAAACACCAACGGCTACTACTTGTCGGGCCTTCATGTAAATCACTTCGGAAAACACACCGTCTCAGGCTCTCAGGTACATGCGTGCGAAACGAAAGTACATCGGAACAAGCACTGCATATGTGTGCGAATGTGTGTGCGAATGTGTGAGCGAATGTGTGTGCGAATGCATCGAAACGTAATTGACAGAAGTACGTCGCAATACACGAAGGAAGACACAGTGAGGGTACGTACAAGTGCATCCTTACATCACTACAAGCACGTCATTACCCCCACCCCGCACTCCACCCCACCCACCCGACAAGCGAACAACAAAGTACGTGACAGGCGTATCAGCCGCGGACCAAAAACAACAGCACGTACAAAGCCAGCAGAAAGAACCAGCAACGCAGCTGCGAAGTTGCCCTCCCTTTGAAGTGACCCACAGGTATGACTGGACAAAAGTTGTGAATGCATAGGAAAATGATCTACAGCCTCCTTGCCCTTAGAAGGCCGCAGTGGTTCAAAGTGGACTTCCAACAGAAGAGTTTTCACCCCGAACCAAGTTTAGAGTACAACACTAGTAATAGTTTCTTTCAAGTCAAAATTTCCTCTGCGGAATTCTAGCGTCAGATTTGCAAGGTTTTTGTGCTGGGGAATACACGCGCAAAGCGTTTACAACATTTGTCCTCCTTGCACTATGCAAAGTGAAGGACGCACAAGACATGAACACTCTGGTGGGCTGAGATAGGTCATTTATGCGCTCTTCTTTTTCTGTTGCCGTTGCGAGGTAGGCGATAGCATTTGGCAAGCTGCTGATGCGAGAGCGCGCGGCTTTCTCATCGGCGCTACCTATGGCCGCACCACACTGAATGGAGAAGGGTTACAGCATCAGGCCATCTATGCATGTCAATTGCATAGTTCTTTAGTTGATTCATGTATTGCCGACCAACACAAATGAAGTGCAGGGAATCTGTAGTGATGTTTGCCAGGATGGGCATTCTTTGCTCATTGCTCTGACCTGTCCAGCCCAGGGCTCAGCAGCTGACTTGCGGCATTTTGACCTTGCTTGTGTCCGCTGTGTTCATCCGCTGCAGTTTGCTGCAATATAGGTGCTTCCTAAACAAATCCATCATGAATTGAATAGTTTGATCGTGCAACAGTGCAGCTCAGTCCGATATGGAGCCAGACTAAATAAAGTCCTACCCTACGCAAGTACCTGAGTGCCAAGCACATGGAAGTTCAGAAATCTATAATTCTGGAATTTGAATGCTCGCGATGCTCTAATGGCTGGATCCGAGCGTATCGACCGCTGAACGCCGTCAACAGGGCCATGCCAGTTTCGAGGCCCCGCTGTCTCGGGGGTCACGGTCTTTTGGGCTCAATTGACTCTGCCTTGTCTAAATCCAGTTTGCATCAGAGAGGTGCAGGTTATGCGGAGATGAACAAGTCAGGGACAAGCATGAGCTGAAAGCCAAGTGCTTGAGATTGTAGTGGTCATCAATCTGGTCTCCCAGGTCTCCCAGGTCTCCCTGTTTCGGATACGTGCCATGGTCGAACTCAAAGGGGATGTATTCATGTAGCTCCTGAAGAATTGAGTTACAGCTCCGTCGTTCCACATTACCTTGCATGTTTGGAGCAATTTGAGGGTGTAGTGTGGCCTTGATTTGCCCTGAGGCATTTGCAAGAGTTGATTGCAGACGCAGCCCGCACCGTTGGCCGCTCATATGATGATGTCCGGCCCTACGTGAACCTCCTGGAGGAAAACTGGTTCGATACAGTTGACAGCTTGAGGAGAGGGTTGGGCACATTGCTATAGTAACTATAGTAGGTTTGGTTCTTTGGTATCTCCTTGCCTTTTTGGCTCCCCTGCTCCAGGACCATTGCAGCTCCAGATCTTCAACAATTAGGGCTACCTTTGCGGTTTGCACGCGAGCTTCTGTCACTGGCAGGGGCGAAAGGTGGAGCTGGTGGTGCGCCACCCCCACCACCTCCAGCTCTTGCAAAACCAGCTGCTGCAGCTGCAGGTGGGAGCCGATCGTAAATGCAAATCTAAGAATTATGAAAGGGCATGTGTATCTCAGCATCTGCGATTGTAAAGCCCTGCATCGCGGTTGATCGGCGATTGGTGGTTCGCGATTGAGACAAACATTTGTTGTATAAGAATCGATCATTGTAAGAGGAGAAATCAGTATTATATGGGATGATAATCATGTTACAGTTCAGCCTTACACTGTATTCGGGTTTGCCTAGACACTGTGTTCAATAGTGATAGCCAATATAGCAAAGAAGAATCAGAACAACAAAGTTCAAAGTCCACCAGCCCAGATCAATTCAATTCTCAAAAAAATGTCGACGAAATCCGCGATTGGTTCGCGATTGTGCTGCGTGCGATTGTTAAACTCGCCTGTGTAGGCCCTGGCTCACGCCATGTCTCTAAATACTGTGATATGTAGCAATGTTTGGACGATTCTTTGCGTAAAATAGTGTTGCATACGAGAGCACTCTCCCGCGATTGACACCGTTGGGGTCGCGATTGATTCGCGGTTGATCGGCGATTGTAGCTGCCTCAGATACCTTTATTTTGATCAACACCCAGGTGTACCAGCAGCCCCGCCACCTGCACCGGCGGTTCCAGCAGCTGTTCGAGTAGCTCCACCTGTTCGAGCACCTCCACCTGTTCGAGCAGCTCCAGCTGCTGTTCAAGCAGCTCCAGCTGCTGTTCAAGCAGCTCCAGCTGCTGTTCAAGCAGCTCCAGCTGCTGTTCGAGCAACTCCAGCTGTTCCAACTCCGCCAGCTCCTACTCCAAAAGCAGCCCCAGTAGTGGTTCCACCAATTCTCGTCCCTCAACCCTTAGAGCGGCATCGACTGCCTCAACATCCTCAACAAGCCAAAGGGTCCAGAGGCAAAAGTGACGGGAAAGAGGATTGGAAAGACAGGAGAGACGAGTGGAACTGGGAGAAAGGCCAAGGCCTGACCAAGGGCAAATCAAAAAGGGACAGAGGGGGAAAAGGCAAAAGCCAGGGCAAACCTTTGGACACAGCTTCCTCACAAGTACAGGGGCTGGGGCTGCATACACACAAAATCTTTTTGGACATCGACAGTCCGGATCCTTCCTTCGGGCTCAATGGACGTTTAATTGGCGAAAATGGACAGAATGTGAAGCACATCCAGGACATCACCGGAGTCACCGTGCACCTTGGTGGACAAGGTAGCGGTGATCGAGCCTCCGAACACGAACAACTGCATGTTCTCTTGCGCAGTGGAGATGCACCGAGTTTGGAAGAGGCCATACGTATCACCAACGATCTCCTCGACACGGTTCTGGAGCAGTACACTGCGTGGCAAGGTGGGCGTGCACAAGGCCAAGAGAGCCAGAAGCCGCAGAAGGGCCCAGGCAAATCTGGAGATGGCCATAAGGGGTTTGGCAAATTGAAAGGAAATGCGAGGCGGGGGCACTTTGCTGCTCGCAGCTGGAATCAGAAAGGAGGCTATGCCCACTATCCGGATGAGCCAGCAAACAAAAGATCCAGGGCACATTGAAGTTGTCGAGTTGCCGAGCATTCTCTTGAGAATGTGCACATATTGCAACATGTCCAGCACCAGATCTGGCTGCCGATGGCGCCTTTTTCTTCTGGGCACCCGACGATGTCAGACCACTGGTCACAGGTGCCCAGCTGTCAACAAAGCACATAGCGTTGAGGAAAAAAGCGGAACCCTTACTTCTTCCGTTTTTTTTTGTTTAAATCTCTTGTTGCCGCTTTGCCTTGCTGTGAGAAACGGAACACTTCCCAGGCAGTGAAGGGCTACGATCCTGCATTCGGCTATGAGATGGCTGCCATTATCGAGAATGGAGTGAAAGAGATGTGGGGGGAGGACGGTGTCGCACAGAACCCTTCCTGCAAATGACCGGAGTTCATTGTTCTGAGGACAAAGATGTCATCTATTATGTCACGGCATATAATGAGAACATGCCCATGCCCGAGAAGCCCGAGGCTGGGCCAAACAGGGTTGTGACGCACGACGTGTCGGTTGTGCTGAGTGCTCGATTCGGCGCCAGGGAGTGGATGAAGGCATCGTCAAGGGCTTGTACAAGTTTTCAGATGCCAAGCCCGCCCAACACAAGGCGACCACGCGCGTGTGGTGTGGCGTCGCGTGGCATCGCAAGACATGGCAGACTTGGTGGCTTTTGAGAGGTCCGGCTGATTGGGTCCGGGGCAATCATGAAGCAGGCAGGAAGGATCAGGAAGGTCCTTTTGCAGTCCACCTGTGGAAAACTGAACTCCTCAGTTTGGATTGATGATTTCAGATGATTTCAGATTTCTGTGTGAATCTTGCAGGCCTTGGATGCTGTAGAACTCCTTGCTGAGTATGGTCCTCCTCCTAAAACACACAATGAGAAGCTTGAGAGTGGAACATTTGTTGCAGCTGGATTGAGGTGTTGGTGCAGAAATCTGGAGTGCCACCAGCGTCCTGATTGAACTCAATGCCTCTAAGAAGTGGTACCCATCCTGACAAAACAAACTATTTGTGGGATGAACGTGATCAGGCTATAGTGAGCTTCAGCGCGATGCTGTTGCAAGCGAGCGGGCAGATCGTCTTGGTGCTCAGGCATAGCAAGCATGCACAAAAAGAACCTTTTCAATGCTTTTCAGTTCGTTCTGAAAAAATTGCAGGGGCAGTCCTGGGTCGAGCAATGCCTCAGCGAAGACTTGGTCACCGTTGCGGTGTCAGACAACATGACGGTGCGCTGTGTGAGAGAAGAAGCCACCGTGCATATATTCCCATTGTGGTGACTGTCTCAACCCGCCGGCGCAGGCATACCCGATGCTGATAGCTCCATATGTCACTGGCAAGTACATTGTCAGAGCCTCAAACTGCACAAAGCCCGTGCACAATCATCTTTTCGAAGCAGAGCTGAAGCTTAAAGCAAGCTGTTTGGGTGGCAGCATGCTACTAGTAACAAGGGCATTTCTACTAGCAAGCTAGAAGCTACTAGTAGCAAGGTGCCTTACTAGTAGCTAGACGCATTTTTTCCGCATGCGCTTCGCCTTGAGGTCCTTGGAGCGGACGGTTTTGGCCGCTCTGACACACGTGAAGCACTGCGGCGTTTCTTTGAGATCGACAAAGAGCATGTGCCCTGTCGAAAGGTCTAAGGAACTTGAAGCAAACGGACATGCAAGAACAAGAACAAGAAAGACGCTGACATTCAAACGTCAGATTGTGATCAGATAGTGTATTCAAACGACACCAGCCCTTCGGTTGTTGCATCAATCCATTCGCCTCCCATGCAAGTGATTTTTGTTTCAGGTTGCAGTCGCGGCCCTCTATGGACTTGCAAAGCAAGGAAAAATCTCCATGGACGTGGCCGATCAAGCGCAACTTGGCAATGGAGTTTGGAGGCAATGAGATGAGATGTCATTTTCGATGCGACCATTTGCACAGCCTCACCAGTCACTTCTGAGGCGTGAGAAGTTCGGCATCTCCGCAGAGAAGAAGGATGGAGCCAACCATCAGAAGTGCTCAGTGTCGTTCAAAGCGCTGCTTCTTCAACTGCTTTTCGCAAGTGACTCAGCGCTGAAAGACGGTGCTTGGAAAGGACATTTGCATGGAGGTGATCAGCTGAGCACCAGAGAGGCGCCTGCCCAATTTTGGAGAGAGCATTCATGTTCATGCTCAGCTTGATGTTTGTTGGAAGAGTTATTTTGCATTTTTCCTGAAATTCCCTGTGTGTTGTGGGTGAGGACATGGTCACATGGTAGTGTCCTTTTTTGTTTACTACGTTTGATGAAACATGTTCGACCCCAAAAAGACAGGTCTCTCACCGAAGCGGCCGCCAAACCAACCCAGTCCTGGCAGCTCAACCAACGACAAGTCTAAATGCTAAGCGTTCTATTGTGCTCAACACGCTAAGCTTCACCATGCAAATCCTTGAGCCGCATTCATCTAAGCCCGCTTGGCAAATGACGCAAATTCCTGCTGGACTTGTGACAAGTCCTTATCACGTTTTTGTTCTTGTTCACCTTCAGGCAACAAGCGTGACTCTGGACAGCGACATGGAACAAGTTTTCAAAAGGTGCATCTGCATGGGCAGTTGTGTGGCTTAGATATGCATCAAGTGGTGCTGGTGGCAGTCTTGCATTGAGTCTTGCCCAAAGAACATATATAGAAATAGTGATCTTGCTGTCACACGCCTTCAATGTAAACATGCTTGTGCATTTTGTTGCCACCGAATCCCCAATTCGAATGTACTCTACATTCTCCTGCGTGCAGCCAGCTTTGTTGGCCGTGCGTCATCGCTTGTTTTCCCTCGAGAGTGTGGGACCACATTGGTTGTACCCTAATTGCACGGATCCTGCGAACCCAACAGGGCCTCTGGGATCTTGCAGCAAATGCAGCTGGGAATCGTTTGTTTGCCGTTCCGGTCAAAATGCAGCATTGCGATGTCATCAGTATGTGAGGATCCAGCTTGCACAGTTGCGGACAAGTAGACAACATCGAATAGTCTCATGCTGTCTCTAGTGAAAAGCCGCGCATTGATTGAGCCTGCGAGAGCTGATTCACACACCTTGTGTCTCTCATTTGCGGCTCTTGGTTCAGATGGGCCTCTGCTGCCCCAAAGGGGCCATAGCAGGTGGTTAGCGTGTTGTTTTTCAAAGTGGAGTGTGGCAGACCTAGTCAAGCTATGAGATGCAGTGTAGTAGGACTTGTTCGCATTTGGCATGTTCTGACGAGCCAAAACCATCAAAAGCCCTTGAACTCGTACCTCTATATACATCAATTATCAACTCTTTTAGATGCCGGGCATTGCTTTGCCTGCCAGCCTGGCCTGACCTGCAATGGGCTGAGATCGCACGTGGAGTGGTTTGTTCTCGGAAGAATGAGAATGCTCAAAGTGGTTGGGGATAGTTTGGAATGCAACTTACATTTTGGGCGCAGGGGTTGGAACGCCGGGGTTTGGAACCATTTGGAACTCCTTTGGTCTCGCACTGCACATTTGGTCTGGAGTGATGGACGCGAAAGAGACCTAAGTTCGTGGCGCAAATTGCAACCCTCTCGCACAAAATTCGCTTGGGCCCTTCATACTGCCCTTTGTTACGCTCGTAGCGTCCTCTTGTTACTAGAAGGCCAGTGATTGTGCAGCGCTTGTGGTCACGGGGGTGTTCTTCCTAAGTGGCTGGAGCTTTGCTGATGGAAATGTCGGCCATGCCATCAGGACGCGGTTACCCTGAGGTACTCGCTGGGCGGTTGGAGGGGTTCATGGCGTGTCGAGATGTTACTAGTAGTACGCCAGGCCATTCCAGTTGAGAGTAAATACATGTGATTTGGGATTCGAGACGAGAGGTTTTCTCAAGAGTTTTTGTAGGATACTATGAGATGATGATAGGGGAAGTCCTCCTTCCCTTTGCTGTAGAAGGGCGCAGGCACCAACAGCAATACAATGACCAACTCTTTCATGTGCCTCATGGGATTGGCAACTGAACATTGAACACCCAGCGATGACTTGGTGCAACTGCTTGGATTCCTTTGTGCAGTTGAACAAGCGCAACACAGCAAACCGCTACGCATGATGAGATGTTGTGGCCCAAGGCCTTCCAAGGGGGCAAGCGGTCGTGCCTCAAGTCTGTGCCACAGCTGCTGGCAGAAAGACAGTGAGATGGCAGTCTTTGGCTGAAATTGCTTTCCAGGGGCCACAGCCTAGGAAGCCTGGATGGATGAAGGCCTGATCCGGGTGAGAACGAGAATGTCACATGAGCCCTGCACAGGTTGGAACCATGATCAGATCAATCAGTCCATTCTTTTACATATATATATATATGGTGACATACCACGTATATCGCGTGGTGTTTTTGTTTTTACAAATTATGTAAGTTTTGTATACGTTGTCGCCGTCTTTGCCAAAGTTTGGGTTTCTTGAGCGATTCCTCACAGCATGACACACAACAGCCACAAAAACGGTCAAACACTGAGACACATTATATATATATATATTATATATATATAGTTATATCTATATGCACACACACCGACGCATACATGCAAGTACTGGTGAGTCTAATTACTAATGTCACAAAGGTCTTTCCTCACGGAGGACTTTTGAGAACATTTCAATTCAAAATCGGTCCCAAGTGATCGAAGAGCAAACATGACTCAAATCCAGGGGGTTGCTTGCTATTTTCATGAGCTTTGGCTCTCACCTCGCATCTTTGTATAGTCCGACAAAGGTAGAATCCTTAGCAGACTTGGACAGGCATCGCCTTGTCAACGGTTGCCGGCAAGCTGGCCAGATTCTTGGATTCACACCAGCAACACGAAGTACAGCACTGGATGACACTTCCAAAACAGACCGAGCGGCTGCTTCCAGTGCGGCTGCTCAGGTGTTTACGACTGACCCTGGGTCTCTCAAGCGTGAAAAGGCCTGTGCGATTGTGTGTGTGTGGGGTTGGTGCTTCGATGTCTGTGTTCCTTCTAGGAGCTTCTCCTTGCCAACCAGAAGTTGACTGCCGACCTCGAAAGATTGCAAGAACGTTGGAGCCGCAAGTATTGACGACGCGTGTCCAACAAGTGTTTCGTTCGACGACCGGGTACGCTCTATATCGCAACTGAGGCCTGTCATTTGTTGAGGACAGCAAGCACAGCTCTCCAGTGTCCTGGGACGTTTTCCCTCAAAGAAAAAAACTAGTAAGGCCAGGAGCTACTAGTAGCGTCCTTGCTCCTAGTAGCGATGCCAGGAGCTACTAGTAGCGATGCGCTATGTCTAGACGCAAGAAGGAGCCTAGTACTACTATGTACTACTGCAGTACTTAGCAGATACTACTTCCATGAGCTTCCATGCCCTACTTGAAGCTGTGTGGTGTCCTCTTTGAAGCGGCTACAACGCACACCGTTCGGAGGAGTTGATTGGACCCACGGAAACTCAGCGGAATGCGGGAAAACGATGCAGCTCTGTGGAGAGTTGGCCGCAGTGGCATTTCTTGAGAATTGAGCCCAAGGCCGAAGGTTTGAGAATTATATATATATATATATTATTATATTGTATGTAAATACGCCCCCGTGTTTAAAGACGTAGGGGAGTCAAGGGAAAGTTTTCCTCCGCAGCACTGGCTCAGCGTATGTGGGGCCATCCTGGTGGCTGCACGTGCACGCTCTGTACTTCGCTAGAGCGGTTGCACCGTGTGGTCAGCTTGGCCCGGATCACTCCCAAGTTCGTGACCTACGCGACAGTCCGGGTCAGGAACGTGATCGGAGAGCTCAGTGACTACCTGGAGGCGCATCCGGGGGAACGGGAGGACCTGGCACGTCCTCCTCCCCAAGCTGGTGTCCGCGAAGCAGGTCGAGAAGAACAAGGAGCGGGCCAAGCAGGAGGAGAGCAGGTGAAGAAGAAGCAGGCAGAAGAGAAGGAAGAGCGCGCAGGTGAAAAGGCAAGCGGATCGGAGAAACCCATTCCAGGCAGTGGAGGAGATCATCATCCCGGAGGAATTGCAGTCAAAAGAGAAGAGGACGAGGAGGACTCGGCCGACAAACCCGACAAGGGATCAACTGCAGAGGACAAGGCTAGGGACCAAGAGGTCAACGAGGCATCACATCGACCAGAGGAGGCTGAAGTGACCACCGAACCTGAGGCAAGCGGCGAGGGAGACGACAAGGCCAAGGAGAGTATCGGTGTAAGGGAGGTAGTGCCAGAATCTCCTCACCGGAAAAGAAGAAGAAGGAGGAGGAGTGAAGCGAGTCGGACAAGGTCTCCAAAGGTCAGAAGAAGAGGTGAAAGTTCCCATCGACGCCGGCGAAGGGCGCGCAGCAAGTCTGAGAAGGCAGTGCCAAAGCCTTCTCACGCCCCAGAAGGGAGGGAGGAACATCGGGAGGTCAGGCGACCAAGATCTCCCTCGCAACCCCCTCCTGGGTTCACTGGTCAGACCATCTTGGTACCTGCTCGACCAGTTTATCGAGGTCCTCCTGACAGCCCAGAGTATCGACCCTACGAAGATGCAAAGAACAAGGGGAAGAAGAAGGTTGAGACGCAGCGGTACTTCCGGGACTACGTTGCGGAGAGGCGGGCTGAGAAGCAACAGGCCCGTAAAGACAGAGACTGGTATCGCAAGTGAGAAAGTGAATGCCTCCTAGACCGCGACGACGGCCAGCGGCTGAAGGGAGGTATCGAGGTGACCGTGATCGAGGAGAAGTTGACCGAGAAGCTGGACGGGAAGGAGCTTTGAGAAGGCGGCCGGCTGCAGCAGAGGAGCGAGTGACGGGGTTTGAGGCTGGAGAAGAAGTTCCTGCACATCAAATCCCAGTGGGAGTATGGAAGCCAGGGCTCCGACTCCTGGGAATGGGCGTGTACTACAACCGCGAGATCAACGTCGCAGTGGAGATCGATGCCATGAGATTTCAAGGAGGAGCGCTCGAAGTTATGACCTGGGTGACCGGCACCGAGGACGAGGGCCTCAGGTGGGCGACCAGCAACGCAGGGACGCCTTTGAGATGTCACATATGCCTGGAGGGCTGTGGCAACGTCCCGGAGGGGGACGACATCCTCCACCTCAAGAAAGTGAAGTATCGTGGTGTGGACAGCCCAGGTTGGGTCGACAACCTCAAGGAGCCGACGGGCATGGAGGAGCTGCAGCGCTTGGCGGCGAAGTCAGATGCCCTGGCCCGAGGAATGGAAGAGGTGAAAGAACCTGCGAAAGAGGCGAAGGAGGCTCCCATCCCAGCAGGACAAGACGCGAAGAGCACCAGCGGATCCAGTGGGGGACGCAAGAAGAAGAAGAAATCCTTCAAGCCAATGGGGAAGAAGGAGCACTCAGCTTTATACAAAGGGACGGGCCTCGACCAGGACGCCCGCATCAGGAAGAAGGTCTCACGTTTGGCGAGACGTGCCATGAAGAAGAAGTCAAAAAGCTCAAGCTCGTCGGGGACAAGTTCAACGTCCGAGGCTGCAGAAGGCCTGGAAGATCTGTTCCAAGAAAGCCAGAGAACACAGTTGGCGTCCAGAGCAGGGCCAGGAGCGTTGGCCTATCACGCCATCCGTCAAATGAGGAAGCAAATGCTGCAAGAGCAAGGCCAGGAGAACTTGGCAGCGAGCCCTGTGGGAGCAGTGGGTTTGCAATTTTACAGGCAGATCCTGCGGCACAAGATGACTCCGGTGATGGCCCGCGAGGCCTTGAACATATCGGCGGCATTGGACGCAATGCTGAACTGCCAGCCGGCACACGCAGCAGACGTCCTGGTCCAGAGACTCAAGGCGCTGGAATGCATGGCGAGCGGCTCATCGTGGCAGATGTCGCAGCGCTTCGAGATTGTGCCCCTGGACCTGGGAAGCTTGGCATCACAGGCGGAGGCAACGGCCGTGGCGAGAGAGAGCAGGGAGGAGCAGAAGAGCCGCCAGCTCCAAAAGGGAGGTTGGGAGGCCGCCTCCTGGAAAGGCGGCAAGGGCGATCAGAAGGGCGACAAAGGAAAAGGGAAGGCCAAAGGCAAAGATGGGAAGTTCAAAGGAGGAGACAAAGATCGCGCTCGCGGAGACAAAGCCGACAAGTGACCGGCCTTGCAGAGGATGAGATCTCAGAAGAGTTGAGAAGAGTGAGAAAAGGAATGGAAGAAGAAAAGCCTGCTATGACCTGCGAAGAGAAGACAGCGACTCAGGACAACAACTATGAGCCTGAGGACAAGCCCACATCGTCGAGGATGTGGCCCAGTACAGAAGGGGTTTTCGAGAGTGCCAGCTCGGAAGCTCCGAACTTCAAACCGTCCGAGAAGGATGCGGAAAAAAGTGCGGCGCTGGATAGTGGGACGTTCGACTCGTTCGTTGAGGGGTGGGTTCATGACTTGTCTCTTTTCAAGCTTTGCAAGGTCAAGACCAAGGGGAGCCTTTTGCCCTTCCCCGTGGACTCGATCATGGAACACCCTTCTTTTTCGGGCGAAGATCGACGTGTGTTGGACGTGTTGAGAGGTGTTTGTTGTGGACTCAATTCACTATATGGCAGTGATCCAGAGGAGACGCTTAAAGTGTCAGCCGCTCATATCAAATGTTGCATGTTTTTGATGGAAGAGGCGAAAAACTTTCTGAGAAGATGTCCTGCCCTCCCTGCCCTGAGTTGGGAGGAGTATCTTTTGGTGCGAACTGTTGACTACAAAGGTGATGAGGTGAAGGTGGCTCAAGTGACTGCGTGGAAGAACGTGCGACCAGCGCTACCTGAGGAAGTAGGTACTGTGCCCTTGGCCAGCGTAGTGACGAAGGGTTCCTTGCACTACACCTTGAACTTCGGCACTTATCTCCTACCTGAAAAAGAGCAGGTTTACACCAAACCTCCACGAATCATGGTAGCTGAAGATGCCTGGGAAGACCTGTGCCACGGGCTCATCACCTCTGGCGTGTGTGGGCTCATCCGGGAGGCCGACATCCATTTGGTGCAGGGTAAGCGGTTGTTCAATGGACTGTTTGGAGTGCCTAAAGACGACGTTGTTGATGGCGTGCCCGTCCACCGGCTGATCATGAATCTGGTACCTCTTAACCGGATATGTCGATCAATCAATGGAGATGTCAGCACGCTACCGGCCTGGCCGTCAATGAACCCCTTTGAACTGAAGGACGGTGAAACTTTGGTGATGAGCTCCGAAGATGTTCGCTGTTTCTTTTATATTTTCACTGTTCCAAAGGAGTGGCACTCCTACCTGGCCTTTGGTCGGCAGGTTCCTAGAAAGATGTGGCCCGACGACGCAGGGCCATACTACCTCTGTAGTCAAGTGCTACCCATGGGTTTTTGCAACTCTGTCTCATTAGCCCAGCACATCCACCGTTTCATTGTTGCGGAGGCGGTCAGGGAGTGCGTTCGGCGAGGTGGACGAGCAGGCTGGGAGGCGGAGCGCCGCAAGGACCGACCTTTCAGTTGGAGCAACCCCTCTTTCCGCGTGTACTTGGACAACTTCGACCTCCTGGAAAAGACTGACAGTCAGTTGGCAGCCACAATTCAAGGAACGTGTCCGCCTTTCGTTGAAGCCTTGCGGGAAGCATATGGCAGGCATCAGGTCCCCAGGCATCCCAAGAAAGCGGTGGCAAGGGCCATCAATGCTGAGATCCAAGGTGCTGAGGTGGATGGTGAGGCAGGAATGGCCGCGCCAAAGGCCGAGAAAATAGGCAAATATGTCAGGCTCTGTCAGTTGTTGCTCTCTGCAGGTGTGTGCACTCAACGCCAGATGCAGGTCGTAGCCGGAGGTTTTGTCTATTTTTGTACTTTTAGGCGGCCATTGTTAGGTACACTCAACCAGGTTTGGCAGTTCATCCAGGGTTTTGAGAAGGGCCGGTACCACCAACGGATCCCGGACGGGGTCCGCCTTGAGCTGAGTCGTTTCTGCCTGTTGATACCCTTAGCGCGAATGAATTTTCGGCTTGCATTGTCGGCAACGGTGACGGCATCGGATGCTTCCACCACAGGCGGTGGCGTGACGGCGTCGTGTGGAGTCAGCCAGGTAGGAGCAATTGCCGCGAATCTGCATGTGCGTGGTGACATAGCAGAGCTTGAAGACGTTGACACCGTCCTGACTGTTGGGTTGTTTGATGGCATTGGCGGCTTGAGGGTTGCTGCAGACGCTGTGGGGCTGACTGTTGTAGGACACGTGTCCGTGGAGTGCCATCCACCTGCGCGTCGCGTCGTTGAAAGCCGGTTTCCAAATACGTTGTTCATCAACTCTGTGGAGGAGGTCAGCGATGAAGTAGTCAAGTCATGGGCATGCCAGTTTAGCCAAGTCAGTGTCGTTCTGGTGGGCGCAGGGCCACCCTGTCAGGGTGTTTCAGGCTTAAACGCCGATCGCCGTGGTGCCTTGCGTGACCATCGGAGCTCTCTTTTTCCCCATGTGGAACGAATAGTCAGCTTGCTGAGGGTACATTTTCCTTGGGCTCAGGTGCACAGACTCATGGAATCAGTTGCATCCATGGACGAGGCAGATCGGGTCGTTATGAGCCAATCCGCAGGGACCACACCAGTCCTTGTTGACGCGTCAGGACTCACAGGGTGCAGGCGGCCACGCCTCTATTGGCCTAGTTGGGAGCTTGAAGATGGGAATGGGGCCTCCATCACGTCAGCCGCTGGGCAAGGGTGGTCGCAGGTGACAGAGGTCGTGTTGGAGGTTGATTTCGACTCAAACAATTTCCTAGAACCTGGTTGGTCAAAGTGCAGTCCTCAACCTTTCCCTACATTCACTACAAGCAGGCCGCGCACCTGTCCGGGTCGACGGCCAGCGGGACTTCAACAGTGCAACGCAGAAGAGGTGAATCGCTGGCAGCAGGATTCTCATCGCTTTCCGCCGTACCAGTATCGACGAGTGTTCTGTGTGGAGAATCGGCGGGGAGAAGTACGCCTTCCTTCAGTTGAGGAGCGTGAAGTGCTTATGGGGTTCCCAAAGGGTTACACGGCGCACTGCCTGCCCAAAGGTCAGCGGCGTGGAACCGATTGGACAGACGAGCGCTTGTCTCTGATCGGCAACTCATGGTGTGTCTTTGTCATCGCATGGCTTTTACACTGTCTAGGGGTGCCGAGGGGCCTTTGCAACCGTCTTTCCATGGAGGAGCTGATGCGCCAGTGTCAGCCAGGGGGAGGCACACGTCTCCAGGGCTATTTGTTGCGTCCATTTATGCGTGTGCCCCGTACCTCAGTTGAACCTCAGCCGGATCTCCTGGCGCGAAAGCTGACAGGCCTGGTTAGTGGTAAGGGTGAAGACTTGCTCCTGCAGGCACCTTCAGAGGACGTCCAACGGTATCATCGCTTGAGAGCCAGCATTCCTTCCAATTTGTGGCGTTGGAAAACAGTGTGCGGTTGGCGATGGTCAGGAAGCTCTGAGCACATAAACGTCTTGGAAATGCGTGCAGTGTTGACCGCTTTGCAGTGGCGCTTCGCCCGAAAGGGATGGATTCGCACTAGGTTCTTACACCTTGTGGATAGTCAGGTGTGCCTTCACGCTTTAGCACGTGGTCGTTCCAGCAGTCGCAAGCTTCGGCGGACGCTTCTTCGCATCAATTCTCTCTTGTTGGCATCCGGTGCGCATGGCGTGTGGACATATGTTCACACGGAGTTGAACCCAGCCGACCGCCCGAGTCGGCGACCTGTAAGGAAGAAATGGGTAAAGTAGCCAAAGCACATGTGGAAGGATGCTCACAAGTAGAGAGAAAGAAGCGAAGAGCTGAGTTAGGTACACTACATTCCCTCACTGTACAGCCAAAGACCCGAGCCCGTTATGAAAAAGCCCTAGAACAGTTTTGGGCCTTCTTGCGGCGTGAGAACCTGGCCTTTCCTCGCGGACCTTTCGAACTGGATAAAGTGCTGTGCATCTATGTGGAGCACCTGTGGAGTGAAGGCTTTGGCCGTGCCTTGGCCGCTGACACCGTAGCTGGAATACAGGATGCACAGCCAAATGTCAGAAAGCAGTTACCTGCTACCTGGCGCCTTTTAAAGGCTTGGAACGTCAATGAGATTCCTAGCCGGGCACCACCTCTCCCCGAGGAGGCCTTACAGGCTATGATCGGGTATGCCATTTTCCACCATCGGTACCAATTTGCAATTTCACTCCTCGTGGGCTTCTATGGAGTTCTGCGAACGGGAGAATTGCTAGGTGTAACGTCTAGTGATGTGTCAGTGTCCTCAGAGCGTGGACCCGCGGTGGTCGCGTTGGGATATACTAAAGGTGGCCAGCGGCAAGGAGCTGCAGAGAGTGTCAGTCTGACTTTTGAGCAGGTCATCCGGTGGCTGCACCGATGGACTTTGGATGTTCCGTTAAAGACACCACTGTGTGCACAACCCTCGCAATGGCGAAAAATGTTTAATGATACCTTGGTGGCTCTTGAGTTTGATACTTTTGATTTCAGACCCTACTCACTCCGAAGGGGTGGGGCCACGTATTGGTTCCGAAAGTGGGGGTCACTAGACAGATTGCTCCTTTACGGACGATGGCAAAATGCCCGCACCGCCCGCACCTATGTCAATGATGGCCTGGCCGTACTGGCCAGCATGCACCTTCCATGGACCCCAGTGAATCGCCGTTTCCGTCAAATTTTTCTGAATTCGCGCCGTTCCCCTGTGCCAGTGCTTGAACCAGCTCTGAAGAGCAGGCCAGGGGGACGTGGAGGAAGGAGCTCCAAAGACAAGAAGAAAGCCAGGAAAGGCAGAAAAGATGCGTGAGAAGTTTCATCTGAAATGAGTCTGAAGGGAACGTAGGAGAAGTGTCTCCGTTTTTTCCATTTCACATTGTGAGGCCCCTTTCTTTTCTCCGGCTTGGCGGAGGGAAAGGGGGCAATGTGTGTGTCTTCGGGCTGGTTTTCCGTACGGCTTGGCGACGGTTTACCAGGGAGACAAAGAGAGACTTGACGTTGTGTTTTATTCTTTTAATTTGTGACAAACTGGACCTTGCAAAGCTAAAAAAGTTGAGCGTTCGGACCGGAGTCTTTGTAAATACGCCCCCGTGTTTAAAGACGTAGGGGAGTCAAGGGAAAGTTTTCCTCCGCAGCACTGGCTCAGCGTCCACTCCCTCCCTCCCGCTGAGGGTGTTGGGAGTTGGCGGAGGAAGGAGCTCCAAAGACAAGAAGAAAGCCAGGAAAGGCAGAAAAGATGCGTGAGAAGTTTCATCTGAAATGAGTCTGAAGGGAACGTAGGAGAAGTGTCTCCGTTTTTCCATTTCACATTGTGAGGCCCCTTTCTTTTCTCCGGCTTGGCGGAGGGAAAGGGGGCAATGTGTGTGTCTTCGGGCTGGTTTTCCGTACGGCTTGGCGACGGTTTACCAGGGAGACAAAGAGAGACTTGACGTTGTGTTTTATTCTTTTAATTTGTGACAAACTGGACCTTGCAAAGCTAAAAAAGTTGAGCGTTCGGACCGGAGTCTTTATATATATATATATATATTAGTCCAATTTCTTGAGAGGATCGCTTCATGTTCTCCGCTCTTTCGCTTTGCCCGTGTATTGCAACTTTTATGGTTTGTGCCAGACGTATCAAATTCAGCTGACCTCGGCCAGAGATGCAGCGCTTCGAGTTGTATCTCGGCATTTCAGTAAGAGCGCATCATAATTTTGCAGAGCTATGCAGACCGAAGATGTGAGCCGTCTTAAGAATTGGCAACAAGCTAGGGAAGCAATAGCCCCCCCAAAAGTGATGAACTACCGAAACATGAAGGATAAATTGTTTGACATGTGTTTGCTTGTTCCATGTTTAGGTTCTTGATCTGAAAGGGAGTTCCGCATGTTCTCAGCACATGGATGCTTTTACACGTAAGAGGTCAAGCCTTTGAAACAGTCATCTCCTGTGGGGCCAAAGCTCGCGCGTTTGAACCGACATCCCCAGCGATGCCTGAGCAAACGATGCCCTTGATGATGCCAATCCACCACTTCCCCACTTGAACACGGGGTGGTTTGCAACCAACCAAGATGTTGCAGCAACAGCTTGGTGAATGCTCTTAGCTGCTTGCGCAGCTCTTGTTTGTCTCCTTTGAGTTCTCGTGGTCATACATACACTTGTTTGGTTGAAACCTGCCTTTACTAAATACAGGAAAGTCATGCCTCCCTTTTCAAGCTGAAGTCTGAAGTTGTCCAAAGCTGAGGGAAGACATGGGCGTCCCCAAATCTATGTGAAGGCATGATATTGAACAAGGAGTTTTATTTGAGAGCCGCGCATTAATAAGTTTCCCTAAGAATCTAGGAACCAAGTGAATAGTGCGAGCTTGAGCTATCCTGCGTCCTGTCGGCAGCAGCTACTTAAACTACTAGCTACCTCTTCTGCTAGCTACTAGCTACCTCCAGCTACTACCTCCCTCTTCTCCCTACCCTGTTGTGTTTGTTCTCCGCCTCAGTGGCTCGATATGTCCACTAGCCTTGCTAAGATGTCACGTTCATTTTCTTTGGCCTCAAAAGATGGTGCTGCTCTTGCCTCGCTTGCTGCTGCTCCTGCCGGGGTTGAGGGTGAGGGTGAGGGGCAGTCCACAGCCAGGACAAGAGTTGCAAAGCCGCTGCCACGAATGGACAGCACTTTGAAGTCATACAACCCCTCTGTGACCCGTGACGCACCAACAGGACAAAAGCTGTAAAGAGACGTGTGGGGCGATGACCTATGCAAAGTGAGTCGCAGTGGAGTTCCAGGGATTGTCAACTTAGGGCAGGGTGGCAATTCCTCGACTTGCAGCGTTTTCCTGCACGGGTACACAAGAAGAACACACGCGCAACATATATATACACATACACAAACACACACACATATGTAATCATATGTATATATTATATACATTACTATATATATACATATATACACACACACTTTCGTTGTAAGAATGCTACTGTGCTAGACCAAAAGAAGAACCGGTGATTACGAAACACTTGTTGAGTACACACTCTGACACTGGTTTTCAGTTAACTCAATTACTCCGATGGGAAGGAAGGCGAGGGAACGGCAAGGTGGCAAGGTCCGTTGAAAAGTATTGTTCAACATTGTTCACAAGTGCACTCACACGTTCAAATGCGGCTGCAAAACGATCAAACGCGGCTGCACGTCTGCGGTAGGAAAAGGTTTGGGGGTGGAAACGTGAAGAACCATGAATCAAAAACGTGGAGAGTGGAGTCACAGCTTGATAGAATGGCAGGTACACAGGGATGATCAGTCCCTGCTTCCCCTTCTTGTCCACAGCTTCATTGCGTGTGGTAGGACAAGAAGGCCACACGCCCCTGCCTGTGAGAAGTGGTGTTGGAAAACCCTTTGTCCAGGGGTGGACACACACACAGGTCGCCGCATCCGGCGCTTTTTTCAAAAACCGGTGGCAGGCGTGGTGGTTGTGTCCTTTTTGGACATAGAGCCTCACGAGCTCAGCCGCAGCAGCTTCAGGGCTGGAGGGTGGAAATGTGTATTTGCGAATGGTGTGAAGTCGTGATTGGAGGCCTGATAGAGCCAAGCGCTGGCTCCCGGCGGTTGTGGAATCCCTGATTTTCCAGGGTTGGGAAGGTTGCGTGTAGGTGATGGTGCGTTGTGGGAGGTCGATGTTGAAGCCGAGGAGATGAAAATCCTCCACCGGTTCGAGTTCCACTGGGTCGCCAAAGAAATTGTGGTGGATGAGGGTTTGGACGGCCGGGTGTTGGAGGAAATGTTCGTTGTGGACAATGAAGCGGTTGTCGACATATCAGCAACTGCCACCGAGGTGGGTGCGGTTGATAGTAAGTAAAGTGGAGGTCTGTGTGTTGAAGGAGGTTGTTGTGGATCTGATGCCAGGAATGCTCAATGAGGGTGATGGCAACATTGCATAGGGCTGGAGAGAGCTGGGATCCAATCCCGGCCCCTCGGATTTGTTTGTAAGTATGGTTGCAAGCCCGGAAAATGCATGTGTTGAGAGCAAAAGCCACGATGGTGGTAATGTCGGAAGTCTGAATGGTGCGTTGGGTAGGGTGTTTGCGATGGTGTCTGCCAATGTGTGAGTGGTGGAAAGGATTGCCGGTGGCCTGGACATCCACCGTCAGGGTGTGTGTTGCTGTTGTTGCCAGTGGTGGACGAGGGAGTGAACCGCATCGATGAGTCGGTGCTGTGGGACTGAGTTGAAGAAGCCGACCAGGTCATCGTTGGTGGCGTGTAGTGAGATGTCTGGTGGGGTTTGGGTGAGGTAGCTGTGAAAGTGGTGCCAAAGCTGGGGAATGGACATTTGGCCGGGATGCTGAGGGTAGAGGTGTTGGAGGATGATGTCAAGGGCACGGCTGGTAATGCGAAGCAGGTTGCCACTGAGTGATTGGAAGTATGAGATAATTGTACGGCCTTTTTGCCAGTGCTTCTTCTCCTTGAGGTGGACAACGCCGTAGGGAATGTTGAAGTCTTTTCGGAAACCCCACTTGTAGCGAGTGCGCAAAATGGGGGGGACAGTGGCGGCCAGGTGATCGTGGATATTGGCGGCAGTGATGTAGGGAAGTGGTTCGAAAAGTTCGGGGGATTGCCATGTATTCAAGGCGCCAGTGAAATATTGGCGAGGGCAAAACAGCCGGAGTTGTTGGAGCTCATGGTCGGCATGGTGAAGTAATGTGTGTTGGCCGAGGTGTTCTTGGAGTTGGCGAAGCAGGCGAGCCGTAAAACGGGGTTGCTGCTTGAGGTGTGTGTTGTGGAGGCGCCATTGGTGCTCAAGGAATGGCTGCAAATGCTGAACGAGGGATGGCGGAAGCCCTTGTAGTTTGAGCCATTTTGCGTAGGCCGTCTTGAACATGAGGAAGTATCGGGCCTTGCTTGGGTAGTAGGTGCTGTTCATATTGGCGTTGAGAAAAATGCCGAGATGTGTAGGGAGTTGGAGTTGGTCAAGTGTAAGAATGTAGTGGCCGTTGATGGTGGGGGTATCGGGATCCTGCAAGAGGGTGCGAAGGTGATCGCATGCGCAGGGGAGGTCTGCTGGATCTGGCGGGGAGTGGAGGGTGTCCTCCCATGTGCGGTGGTTATGCAGGTGGGAACGGAGGGTTTTGTGTGCGGCTTCTCTCAGTCTGTGGGAGGGGAGGTGGAGGGGGATGGTGAAATGCTTGTGCTGCTGGATGGTAGTACGAAGCCACTGCTGGCAGTGCTTAGTGAAATCGTCGTGGGCCAAGAAGGGCACTGTCAATGGAATATTTGGTTTTGGCGGTGTGAGGTTGCGGTAGATCAGGGCTTTGTTGAGGATGTGGAGAGCTCTGCTACGGCCGGGTTCTTCCAGGTTTGCGGCCATGCGCCGGATTGCGTAGACTTCAAGGTCCGTGTGGCGGCCGCTTCGTAGCTCTTTGGCAGCTTCAAAGGAGGCTGCTGTGTGTTTGGTGAGGTTGCGGAGAAGTTGGAGGGCGTGATGCTTGGTGGAGGTGTAAAGGTGTGGTTCTCTGAGCGTGTATTGGCGTTGCCTAAGGCGTCGGAAGAGTCGTTTGTGGGTGGCTAATCTGGAGTAGAAATGGGCTCTGTGTTTCGTGAACTGCCAGCCTTGAGCTTTGAGCTTGAGATGGTGGGAAATAAACGGCCAGTTGAGCGTAGGCATCCAGTTTGCGATGTAATGGTGCTCTTGGATCCAGGCTTGGTCGTATGTGTCATGGGAGGTAAGTTGAATGGTAGTGTAGTGATGGATGTTGTTGCGCGAGTGCCCATAACGTAAGGAGAGTTCGGCAGAAATGGGGATATTGTTCTGGAGTTGTTTGAGTTTGGCACGGCGATTGTGTTCGCGGTGGGGAATGCCGATGGCTGTGGAGCCCACATAGAAGCGACCATGTTGATGGTAGCAGTGTTGGGGCTGGTCAGGATTGAAGTGGAGCTTGATGTAAACGGAATTTGAGGAAAGGAAGTTGTGGTAGTGGTATGTGGGGCAAGATGTGAAGCTGGCGGAGACGGTTGCGCCATTGTTGTGAGCGACGGGTGTTGGAAGGGTATGCGAAAAGGAGTGTGATATGGATAAGGCCAGTGGCGAAGATGGCCTCGGCACGATCGATGTATTGGGTACGGTGAATGAGCACGGAGAGTGCTCGGCGCAGGTGGAAAAGTTGGGTGAGGTTGGTGTGGCTGGGTTGCTGCTGGGCAAGGATGGCGAGTCAGCAGCCGATGGCTGCTCCAACACCCACGAGCTGTTGTAAGCTACGAATGGGGAGCCGGTTGACCCGGTTGAGAGGTAGGCCGTACCTTGTGGCTGCTTCTTTTAGCTGCTGCGTGGTGACTTTGCTCGTTTGCAGCAGACGAACGACGTCCTTGGCGGCTTCTTGGATGGTGGGGTCGAAGGTAGTGACCCATTGTTGGATCTCTGGGTGGTTCCAGCCCTCGGGGATATCGTCTTGCAGTGTTGGGTGTGGAGGTTGCAAGACGTCAGTGAGGGCTGGCGGTTTTGGTGGTGGTGGAGTGGGTGCATGGGATGGGGCGGCCGGTGCGGAAGATCGGCTGGTGCTCTTGACTGGGGTGAGTGGGTTGCCCAGGTCGTGGAGCTTTTGACGTGCGCGGGCCAGTTCGTCGTTGGTGTTTTTAGGGCGCGTAGAGCGGTGCCTTCCGCAGGTGCTGGAGAATGAGTTTGTAGTTGGTCGATAAGT